ACTCCCCTGGCAACAATACCCCATCCTGAGGTTAGCCAAGAACCCAGCAAGAGTCACCCCCTAGAGCAAAATATGTTCCTATCACCCAGGAAATTCCATGGGATTCTGGAGCTGTGTCCTATGCTTTTATCGGGACATTACAAAGGTCTTAAGAGTTCTTTGCCAGAAACCATAGTCAAAGACCAAATATTAGAACAAAGATTCTCCTAGAGCCCCTATGTACAAGAGTTTCAATTGCTCTATGTCAGGAACCAGAGACAGAGACCTATGTATAATTCTTCTTTTATCACAATATCACAGAATCCAAGGCAGCTTGGGAGAGTTTTATATACATATGTTTGATATATGTGATTTTTGTACATAGTTTATACTCTAAAATTTTTTGTTAAGTGGATGAATGAATGGGTCTGTAAGAATATTTGGAGAACATGGTTCCAATACTTAGAGGTTTACATTTTAAGTTGATTATATCATGCTTTCAACTTCCTTAAATAAGTACATAGAGTTCCTACCTGCTAGGAACTTCTCCAAAATGTAGTCTACCTTTCCTGTCTCTACAACTTTAACCTTTCTTTTCTTTTTTTTTTTGAATTGGAGTCTCACTCTGTCGCCCAGACTGGAGTGCAGTGGCCGCTCCCGGCCACCGCAGCCTTGACCTGCTGGGCTCCGGGGATCCTTCTGCCTCAGCCTTCTGAGTAGTTGGAACTACAGGCGCCTGCTACCACGTCTGGCTAATTTTTTGATTTATTGTAGAGATGAGGTCTCGCCAAGTTGCCTAGGTGGGTCTCGAACCCACAGGCTCAGGCAATCCACTCATCTCAGCCTCCCAAAGCGCGGATTGCAGGCTGAGCCACCAAGCCCGGCTTAACTTTTCATTCATTCTTCATCTTCTGCCTTCAGCATTCTGTTGAGTGCTGTAGTTGAGCACTTCAAGCTAAACTAGTGTTGTGAGAACTAGTCTTAGGAAATTGGTTTGAATTCTAGTCTACCGATTACTGTGTGACCTTGGGAAAATTACTCACACTCTCTATTTTATCACATTAAAATAGGGTTATTAATACTCATTTCATAATACTGTGAGGGAGAGTAAACTAGACAATATATGTCAGGCACTTAGTGTGATGTCTCTCAGAGAGGTCATCAGTGATTTGTCAATAAGTTCAATGATTTCTGTTCAGCCCTCATCCTCCTTGATTTCTCTTTAGCATATGATACTGTTTACCCTGAGTGGCCTCAGTTTCCTAGACCCTACTGTCTACTGGTTCTTCTTCAAAATTTATCAGTAGCTTTTACTGGTTTTTTTTTTTTAAGTCCTATTTTTAATGTTTGTTACCAAGGATTTATCTTCAGCCTTTTTTTTTTTTCCCTCCCTGCTAGCTTTTCTCTTTGGGTGGGTAACCTCCACTAGCATCCTCCTGAAAGTGCATCTTTCTGTCAATACTCAGGAGTTCAAGATTCACAAGAAATCTAAGTCTAAGATAGTTCTTTTTTTTGGCGGGGGGAAACCAGGGCCTCACTCTGTTGCCCATGCTGGAAAGCAGTGTCATGATCCCGGCTCACCACAGCCCGTACCTCCTGGGCTCAGGTGATCCCTCCACTACAGCCTCCCAAGTAACTGGGACTACAGGTGTGTGCCCACACACCTGGCTAATTTTTGTCATTGTTGTTGTTTTGTAGAGACAAGGTCTTGTTATATTGCCTAGGCTGGTCTCGAACTCCGGGGCTGAAGAGATTCTCCTTCCTTGGCCTCCCAAAGTGCTGAGATTATAGGCATGAGCCACCACACCTGGCCAAGATATTTTAGTGTGGAAAATAAGAATGATTTATGATTTTTCTCTTATACTGGGAAACCCCTTCCTCAAGATAATTGGCTATTCTGTCATATATGATTGAAAGTCTGGCAAACCATTGTGGTAAGTTACAAATCTATTGGAAGCGAATTTGGAGGGCCCTTAACTAGATTCGTAGAAACTATGTCTCATAGCCAACAACCTAAGTGGAATAACTCTAGAATTTCATGGATGGGGTGTGCAGTGTGCAAAATGCCATGCATTTTGAGTAATGAAAGGGGAAGAGAACGCTATTCTGACAGGACAATGCCTCCTTCATTTTCCAATCCTGCATAACTTCCTGCCAATGCATCAGAATACATTTCAGTGGCTTTCAGACTTGTACAGGAAACTTCTATTAGGTGATTAAGCAGGTATCTTAAATGTAATACGTCCAAACTCAGGCTCATTTTATCATCTCTCGAACTTGTTTTTCTTTTTTCATTACTTCATTTAATGGCATCATCATCCATTCAGCCTTCTGAATAAGAAAAGAATACTCAGTGAGCCTTAATTTCTCCCTCTCTTTCATTCCTTGGATCCAGTTATGCCCCCAATTCTAATAATTGATCTTTTAAACTTTAGGTTCCCTCAGAAAAGACCCTGATCTATAGATTTGAGTGCAAGTTCATTTGGGATATAGTTTCAGGAAAGGATAAAGGAGTAGGGAAGTAATACAGGAAAGTGAAGGAAGCCAAACAAATGCACTATTGGGTTGATTACACTGTGGGCAACTAAGGTGCAATACTACTGGGGAACTCAGATGACAGTACAGAACATACCACAGAAGTGTGTCATCCATGAGACTATATACAACTCCCATCACTGGTTAGGGCTTTCCCCATGGATGTAACCTCCTAAGCACTTTTGGCTTGTCTCCACCTTTGGACTGATGGAAAACCATTAGAGAGAATTGCAGATGCTTACAGTTAGAGACCATCTACATGTTTTATAAGGGTGAAACTGATGGGATATGGTGGGGTTACTGACAATGTCTAGCATAGCCTAGACTAGTAGTAAGGGGCAGTGAGGCATTCATTTCAAATGCAACATGTAAGGGGCACAATTTACCTTCATTCTCTCCTCCACCAGTCCCTCACACTTCCAGTTTATCCTCTATGTTGCTGGTAGAGTTAACTTTTAAAAACCACCAATTTTATCACATGTCTTATGAGCATAAGACAAATAAGAAAAAAGCACTGAATAAAGTCCATACTCCTTGATTTAGCATGAATAACTCTTTACAGATTGACTATAGTTACCATTTTAACCTCATCTCCTGCCACTTTATTTTAAATAATTATTTTCTGCTACATGAATGCTTCAAGCACTTTTTGAACTTTTCATACCCTTGAGTGTATTTTTTTCTGCCCCAAATTCCCTCCCCAACCCGACCCGCACCCCCTGCTTCTTTACACAAAAATTTCTTACTAGTCTTTTACAATCCAGATTCCTCTGTAGAAACTTTCCTGCCCTGGAAAAATAAATTGCTTATTTCTCTTTGTTCCTTAACATTTTGTGTGTACCTCTACTTTTGCACTTTGCAGATTGAATTGCATCTTTTTCCCTCACTAAGCTGGGTACTCTTTAAAGGCAGGTCTTATTCATCTTTTTTAGCCCCTGCACATAGAAGGCACCCAATAAAAGCTTACTGAGTTGAATGTATCTGGATGCATGCTAACAAAACAGATTTTAAAAGAAATGGAAGGATTTTCTTAGCAATTTCAGGATATGGACACCATAAGCAAAGAAAGCCAGCTGTAAGAATGAACGGTTGGGACCTATCACAGAAATCTATTTTATATCATTTATTATTTATAAAGTGCTTCAAATAAGCTTTGAGACATCTATTTTTAAGTGTTGGGATTTGCTGTTTCCAAAAGCAGTACTTTCGGTTTATTCCGTAAGAACATATGTTGATCAAAAGAAAAAAAAAAAGCCCCCAAAACAAAAACAAAACAAAACAAAAATAAAATAATAAAAGCAAATGCTCTAGAGCATTATATACATACTATTTCAAATTTAAGAATCCTTAGATTGTAACTTCCCTGGAGTCGGAGACTGTGTGTATGTATTTTACTCTTTATACAACACCTAACTCATATATACACAAACTCTTACATGATTTTTGATATAGCAGTGATTTGATAATCTGTGACTGAATCTATAGCATTTGCAGCAAAAGGGGGATCTGTTAATTATTTAATTCCTCAATATGAATAAATAAAACACGTAAGTTATATTCCCCCAGAACTCTCCTCTGCCAAAAAATGCTTTTTAGGGTGATTATTATTCTATTGTCTCTCTTTCTCATAAAAATTAGATAGCCATCAAAGTTTCACTTTACCTCACTTTGATTGTTATTTCAAAAATTAATGTGGGTGATGATAATGTTTTAAAATGCAGTAGTATTACTGTTGCTATTTTTTTTTTTCTTTAAATTATAATGGTGATGATTTCTATGGTGAAGTTTCTTGTTTCCCCCAGAACTGATCTAGCTTTGGTCAGTAACAACAGTAATAACAGTAGTACAGTTTGAAAAGTTCAGCAGTTGAGAACTTATTATCACTCAATAGAATGGTGGGGTAAGGTGGGGGTTGAGAGTAAGGAAGACTTTGATCTTCCAGAGTACTTGGTGTTATTTGTTAATATTTTTTTCTCTTTTTGCTATTAATACTGGTCCGGCAATACTTTTCCATACCATTTGGTAATGTTTTTTAGTGGTCCAAATGCATGAGTCGTCTGAAGAGGAGCTCAAACCAGCTCAGGTTCCTGTCCTACATAGGTTTCTAATCATCTATAAGAGGATTTGAGATTCAACATTCTCGAGAAAATTGAGATCAATAACATATGCTATCGTTTAATTGTTTCTCTTTTTAGCTGAAATATTCTGCGTCACATTTTGAGAAATGCTGAAAAAGGGGTCAAATTAGTAGCTTGGTCATAGTGACCTGCTTCTAGTTGGTTGTCTTTCCTTAATTATATACAAAAAGTCTATAACTGTTTGAATTTGTTGATACAACTACTTTGTGTAATTTTATTTGGTATGATACTTACTCACTATGTGAAATTTTTTAAATAAGAAGCTTGCTGTATGCATTAAAATATAAGATGTTAGTTTCTTCCCCAGCTCCTTTTGGATACCACTTACTGACACTGTTTCCGTTTCAGGAAAATGGAAAAGAAGACAAAGAAAGGAAACCGGACTCAAGTGAAATTAAAGAGCTTCATGAGGTAGAGTTATCATGGTTAATGCTGAAGAGTAAACTGGATACATTAATTCTTTTATGAAAAAGAAAAGAAGTAGGTATTTAAAAATATAAAATGGCAAATGGAAAAGGACAAACTCATGTTGATTATTAAGCTGACTCATTTGAGTAAGTTGTAGGAAGCTTTCAAAGACAAATTATTTGTGAAGACCTGTTATAAATTATAGATGAATAAAAGTTGCTTTATAAAATCATAACTATTATCCTAAGTACAGTAATCACTAATTTATAGGGTAACTTTACTATAATGCTGAAAATATAATTTGCATGTTAATCACATATAACTTTGTGTTTAAATAAATACAAGACTATAATGAGGTGGAACATTTTCTAGAAAAGGGGAGGCAATTGAAAATAGCTATATAGATTAATCAGTAAATTGACTAATGTGAGTCTTTAAAATATCCTATCACCAAATTTTGAAGTACATAGCATGAGAACAAAAAGGCATTTTTTCACTGTAATTCATAAAATTAACCTTTAATTTCCTCAGTTAAGATGAAATGTTTCTTTTTCACCACAAACACAGAAGACAATTCTAGTAGTAAAAGAAAATGGTAGCATTTTCAAAGTATGCTATGGTCTCAAATTATGTTTCTATAAAGTATTGTATAATTCAAGGATTAATGTACATCTAAAATGATATTCCTAACATATTACTTTGCTAGTAGTAGGAAGATGACATGTTGAACCAATGCATTTTATCTTGTAAATGCAGTAAATAGATGGTGATTACTGCTTTGCTTTTAATATACAGCATTGGATTCTGGAAAAATTAAGTGGGAATGTTTGGTTAACTCCTATTGAGGAAAAGCAATTCTTGTTTAAATTAGTGTTTCTTATCTCCTTTTGAAGAGTTCACAGAGTGTACCAGACGTTCCTATAATAGAGACCAGCAACAATGTGGTGGAAGAAGCAACGGATGAAATCAAATCCCAAGGTAGAGAATTAGCTTTTCACCTACACAACAGAATGTGAAACTATCATTAAATTTTTATTGGGAATACATTCTCCAAGATTTTGCATCTTAAAAATATAATCCAGCTGGGCTCGGTGGCTCAGCCTGTAATCCCGTGCCTTTGGGAGGCTGAGGTGAGTGGATTGCCTGAGCCCGCGGGTTCGAGACCCGCCTGGGCAACTTGGCGAGACCTCATCTCTACAATAAAGCAAAAGTTAGCCGGGTGTGGTAACGCGTGCCTGTAGTTCCAGCTATTGGAAGGCTGAGGCAGAAGGATCGCCGGAGCCCAGCAGGTCGAGGCTGCGGTGGC